TATTTGTTTATTTATTTGCTTATTTATTTATTTGTTAATACACATGCATCAGCAGCAGACACGCGATTCCGTGTTGCATACCTGCACTCAGAAACTACCAACACAAGCCAGCATCGCATGAAGGATGGAAACGGACTGCTGTTTCTTGTGCGTAAGACCGCACCAAGGTTCATCAACGGACACCTGTGAACAGAGACATGGGGGCTGGAAAAAGCAGCTACAAGGAGAAACATCTGAGTTGAGCACGAATACAGAAATATATTGAATACCTTGCAGTTTTGGAGATGTGGACGGACAACTTCGGCACGTCAGTCCCTCAACACTACTCGGCAAAAGGCTGTGATGAACTGCCCCAGGAGATTCATGGGAGCCTCAGCTGCACATCGCGAGTCGCAAGAGGCAGAGCAGTGTCCGGTAAGTCCAACTGAGGCAAACGGCACTTCTTGCAATGACTATCCCACCGTTCAGGATCACGGACGTCTTAACAGCAAACGGAAGCCATTGGGCGTCTGCGGCCCTGCAGGCGAAAGCTTGGCTAGGGCCTGGGGGACATCAGAGTCCCAAAGCGCCCCAAACCCTGGGCCTGATGTAGTGCTCTCCTGCGAAGAATAGAATCTGGCAGGCCAGACCTGCGCATCTCCAGAGTTCGGAAGCAAGATTTTGCGGCCCGTCTAGCTCAGGCTGGTGCCAAATAGGTTGGTCATGAGAACGGCTGCGTTGGCAATCTGCAAACCGTAGCCAATGCTCAAGATGTTGCACGCCGCCTTGCAGTCGGTCTCACCTTCCCGTATCTCACAGCACGAAGCTGCAGAGCACCTGCGCCTTGAACACAACCATTGGCAGGTGGCTGGCCTCAAAAAAACGTGAAATCAGCCGCCTCACGAGCCGGCACCCACCCTGGTGCACCATGGGGGCCTTCATCCGCCGCACTGCTTCCAGGACCATTCCAGTCGGTGCAACCTTCGTAGCTTCGCAACATCTCGGTGATCAGGGAACTGAGGAGGGCCCTGGCGTAGGACGTGATAGTAATCAGTGGGCATGCCAACGACAAGCTCAAGGTCAGCACCTCCAACATGTGCGAGTCTGCACTCTTTCTAGGCAAACCGGCAAAACAAGGAGGAGCTTGCAAAAGCTGAGACATGCCGCAACAGAAGCTCACAGAACATTTTGTTCTTTTCAGGGTGTTGCAAGAGTCGCGTGCAACGTAACGGAACGACTACCTAGTAGGGGTGAGACTTGCTACCCTTGCCCTTGGATTTGGACGGGCCCCACCAGCCATCGTCCCAACCTCCCCCGCCACCACCTCCGCCTCCCCAACCCCCACCCCCGTTCCATATCTCACCAAGCATCTCCATGGCCTGCCACAGCTGGCCCACGTCGATGCCTTTGCCCTTGCCCCAGCCTTTCCCATCGCCGAAGCCCATCTCGAAGCCCTTCATGCCTTTGCCCTTGCCTTTCTTTTTGGGCTCTTTCCCGGGTGGGTAGCCATCGGGGTGGATCTTCACGTTGGCTGCCTTGACACCTCGGGCATCTTCTACGATGTTGAAGGACACGATCGTGTCGTTGGAGTGATCACCTAGCTGACTCCGCAAGACCAAAATGTCCTTTTCGTAGACCTCCTTGGTCTCTTCACAGTCGATGAAGCCAAGACCTCTGGCAGCATCAAAGTTCTTCACTCTGCCCCAGTATGTGGGCAAGCGCTCGGCCATGTCGGCTATCCTTTCCTTAGAATGCGTGCAAGGGGACTGTACAAATTCGCAGGAATTGAGACCAGTCCAATTCGAGCAGGCATCTATGATCTCCACTTCAACGGCCTTGGGGCCTTTGATGCCGGTTTCCACCTTGAAGCTTACCTTGCATGGAGATCAGATAAGGCAGGTCAAACAACTCAGTCGCTTTGCCCAGCAGTCAATCTCAGACAGCCAGGCCGCTCTGTCTCCGGTACTGACAATCAAACCGTTCAAGGAGCTTCGCAGAAGAAAGATGTCTTTTCCTGGATAAAGCAAACAAGCAAACGGAGGATGAAAGAACCCTTCCCCAACTACCCAACTGCAAGCAGCTGAGGATCCATAGATTTGCTGGGTGTCTTTGCACTCTATGAAGCCGAAACCTTTGTCTTCATTGTAGTCCACGATCTGCCCACTGTAGGCCGGACTGTCTTCGGACGCTGGTGCAGCGGCGACGGCTGTTGGAAGGGCCACACCGGGCACCGTCGGCACAGCCGCATACCTGAACTACAGACGGATTTTGGTATTTCTCAAGCAAGTGCGTGGCATGCCTACACCACTCGGAGACAGGGAGCAAGCCGGCGCCGCCTGCAACACCTGCCGCACCGCCTGCCACGCCTGCAAGTTGCTGTGCGAACATCTGCTGTGCCACGACCTGCTGCGCTTGCAGTGCTTGAAGCCATGCGGTGTACTGTGCAGGGTCCATGGCCGGCACAGCCACCGCCTGGTATCCAGCCGGTATGGCATACTGCACTGGCTGGCCGTCAGGCTGCGCTGGCTGCACTGCCTGCACTGCCTGCACGGCCTGCGCCTGCTCTGTCGCTTCTGCTACCTGTGGTTGGCCGTCCATCGGGCCAGGCTCCGCCAGCACTCGCCAGCTATCAAGTATCAGGAGGCCATTGGATCATGGCTCAACGGCTTAGGTAAAGAGAGGCCATCTCTGAGCCAGCGTCCGGACAGATTCAAACTGTGGAGTGTACACACAGTTGACTCGGAGGCAAGGAAAAGATATACTTCCGCTCTCCTCTTCTTTTGAGCCTCGTGGTCCAACCAGCCCATCCTCGTCAGCGCTGGGAAGGCACACACGCCCGCCACCTGGTGTCAGCCATGTGTTGGATGGTTTCCTGCCCGCAGCAAAACTGGGTCTGAGAGAGGTGCGGCGGTCAGCACAGCCGAGAGAGTCAAGACTGCCTTCGCACTGACGTCCGAAGGGAGACCGTGACAGCAGAAAGAGTGGTGCTTTCGCAAAATGAACTCAAAAGCGCTGCCAAAGGGACGTCCAATACCTGGAAGCGAGCTCCGAGCACGGCCTGCTCACAAAACGACCAGGTAAGCTTCGGCATCCAGAACTAGCTCCGACTCTGAGATACCGACGACAAGACTGGAGCGCAGGCGTCCCCCCTGCGGCCGTCTTCATACACAATGTGACCTACTTTGTCAGAAACACCAAGAAACTGAGATCCAGACCAGTGAGCCCAGGTGGGTCGGCGATGATGTGCCTATGTTGGACGTTGATGGGGGCTCGGGCACACACACACGCAGGTCGCAGACACCTCCGAACCAGCATGACTGCGGAAGAAGGCCAAGGCGGCCTTGCCGAATGCCCCTTCCCCCGTTCGTGCTACGCGTGCTTCTCCTAGCAGGCCTCTTCCCAGGGCAGTGGGTGGGAGCTTAGGTCCCAGCCTTGGAGGACACAGGCTAGGAGGAAGGCTGTGAAGGTCAAAAGCCCGTCTTGAGCTCTTGGCTGCAGGTAGCTGCCAGAGCTCCCAGACACCTTCATCCTTTCGACCTCTCCACAAAAGACACCGTGCTTTCGCTGTTCCTGCTTGACTCCCCAAGCCCGGCCTGGACTCATCGACAGCTCCCGCATGACGCTCAGTTATGTGGGCAGGATTTACTAAGACTAAGAAGTGAGCTCTCTTCGTCTCCCTAGCTCTGTGGGCTTTGAGGTCGGCTGCGTGCTGTCTGGGCAAGTTCCTTTCTGCGCATGTTCGGGCTAAAGTGGTTCGACCTGGAACCGCAGCATGCGACAGCCTCGGCAGCATCAAGATTTTGTGAAGGCACATCATGGTTGAGAGGGACATACGTGGGCAAACGATTGAAGCCTCAGTACAGAAAATTCCTGGACGCGTAAGACTTCCAGCAGACAGCGATCCTTTTGCAAGCCGTCACTTCCTGGTGCTCCGGAAAATAGCATCAGCAACACCCACAAGAAATGTTCCAAAGCCAACAGTTGCTGACAGTCTGTTCGATGTAAATAAAACCCCAGTTTTGCACAGCTGAGCATGAAACATCAATATATACGAGGAAGGTGAGAACACTCGGTGAAGTTCCAGCAACCATGAACATGCCTGCCAAAATCAGCGCTTGTGGAAAGGCGTCTTCCTGCGGGCCTGCCATAGTTGCCATGATGCAGCAATCACTTCGCAGCAAAATGGCAAGTTCGGTGCCGGGCAGGCCTTTGGTTGGCCTGGCTTCTTGGGCTCGACCATACGGTAATCGCGCGTCAGGTACTTTGCCTTCTTCATCAGCGGCCTGCCGACCAGACAAAGCTCCACAGTAAACTCGCGTCTAGAGCGTTCAGAGCGCGACTTGCCTCCAATTGAAGTTGTAGTCCTGCATGGCGCGTGCAAGAGCCAAGCGGATTGCACCTGAGGTTTGGTCTTCACACCGCCCAGCTCTGAGAAAAAGAGGAAAGCAGCTGAGATGCCGACCAGCCTGCCCACTAACACCTCCTCCGAAGCTTTTGGCAATGATGTCAAACCTCACGTGCAGTCCATGCAGAGGGTGGGCAGCCAGACTCAAAACTCACTTGTTCTTGCAACTGAGTGCATTGGCTTGTTTTTCTGGGACAGTGCAGCCAATGGCTCGCAAGCCTGAGGCTTTGAACACCACCTGTTGATGAACCTTTTGCAGGCTGGAGCAAAAAAACTGCCTTCAGCCACCAGTACGGGTAGTGGTTGAAGTACGTAATGGCCTGCTCACAGCATAAGAGTCCACTTGGCAGCTCAGTTGCGAGGAGACGGAGAGGGAAGGCGCACATCTTTGCCATTGACAATGAACTGCCCGTTGCCCTTAACGATTCGCACAATGGCGCCTTGGATGCATTGCAGAACCAAGTGCAAGCCGCCGACGCTTCTGACTGACAAGAAATTCCCTAGGCCGATTTCCAGGCCCGCAGCAAGCCGTCTTTCTCTTGCCCACGCCCTGCCAGTACCTTCCCGCGGACATGGCCGCCAGGGCATCAGCGCTCAACACCAAATGTCAGCTTGTTGCTGTTGAGGCTGTGGCTGAACTTTCTCGTCCTCAACATCCATGTACCAGTTTCCATCCGGGGAACGTCCATCACCTGGACAGAGGAACAATCGGGCAGGAAGACGGCCGTCGCAAGCATGAAATTTAAGGACAAGACCCCACTTCGCCCCCGGAGGTGGCGGCTCTAGTGGTGGGTAGTAGAGATTTGGGTCCAACGGAAACTCCAAACCTCGGCGAAACGTGGATTTCGCTTGAGTCTGCCGTCACTGCTTCCGGCCTTCGACGACGGGAACCTGCTTGTACACCGGGCCCGTGTATGGCCGGAACCTCGGGCACGGAATTTTAATACCCTACACGCGACATCGACTGTGCATGCACTTGCTGGCTACACTTCACAGAGGCATTTCCGACATCAGACTTGGGATGAACTGCTCCTGTGGAGAACGGCCAAAACCGTTTAAAAACCGAAAGCGCAGGCGACAGACACTGCGGCATCAAATCACGTGTTCCGCTCTCAGCATCTGGCTTCCTTCCGCTTGGCTTTTTCCGAACATCGGGAGGCAAGTCTTTTTCGATGTCGATCCCTTCGTTCAGATTGCCATGGGATATCTGCAGCCGAAGCGGGAACACAGCACTCAGATGCCAAGATGTCGGCGCTCTTCCCACGGATTTACATAGTTTTTCTGTCCGGTAGCTGGATCCACTTTACCTGTTGGGATGGGCCAATGCTTGCAAGAAACATGGAGGATGTTGACACTCCGGCTCAGGCCGCTCAGGCCAAGCCAAAACACTGTGTGCGGTGCCATACTCATCGGCCTTTCGCTGTGTCAGCACCTGGCGCAAACGAAGCAGAAGAAGTTCCAACTCGGCATCGAGATCCATCGAAGCGGACGCCTTGCGAGGAAGCCTTTTCTGAGCTCGGAGGGCGGCAACTAGAGCCAGGCTAGCAGCCACACCAGTGAGTTTTGGAATGGTGGACTGGCCTGAAACATTTGCACATGCAATAAGCTTGGAAGAGAACCCTCGAAGTCGGCCTTTGGTCACGCCTTCGATGGAGCTCACTGCTCTTTGAGCAGTTGTGGCTGCTCGTTGCGTTCCTGAAGCTTCAAGCTTACAGCACCCTCAAGTCACGAACTGCATGGTCAACAGCCTGTCGGTGGAGCGAAGGCTCCGGAAAAAGCTGTCGCACCTGAAACCCGGAGCCCAATCACACAACACCGCACATCATGTGCTGGCTAAACATAAGCTTTGAGGCTGCTGCCGACCACCAACATCATCGACAACAGGCGAAGCCTTCCAACAGCAGCCGGCACGGAAATCAAAGCTGGAGCAGGCAAGCGTGACAGGCCCACATGTCGATCCAGGCCAAGGCCCTGCTGGTAGCAGGGTGATCCTGGCTTGAGCCTCGCCCTCCGCCAGTGGCACCACAGGATCCGGGCGAAGGACTACTAAAGCGGAATCATAAAAACTGGTCTTTGAACCGGCCTACAACACGTCGCGAAGCATGGTATGCATCGAACTGACAACAGGTCCTGGTGATATTTTCTCGCCTCATGGTAGAAAGGCTTTAAGGGCTCTCCGACGGATGGATTTTGATTTCTTCCGTCTTCTTTGTTCGGATGGGTTGCTTTCCTTTCTTTGGTCCTTCTTTGTTGCCCCCGATCCCGACTTTGTCTCTTCTCCCCTAAGGTTGTCAACAAAGCTCTACTATGTCGCAATATATTCTTCTGCGGCCACGGCGAAGGAGTCACTTGGCGTCGCACTGTTGCATTCAAGTTTGCCCAAAATCTTTATTCCCCTCGGACAGCAAGCACAACCTATCCTTAAAAACCGGGATCAACCTGAACACAAAAAAACCTTGATCGTCCTCCATTCATTGCTCCGCTCCACAGGGCTGAAAAATCCATTTTGGTACAGCGCTTGGTTCGACAGTCCGTTCAAGCTCTGCATGCACAGCTCTGATCAAGCCGCGGCGGGAGCTTGTAGAGACTGCAAGGAAACCACACAAATGTATGCAACCAAAAAGCATCATCAAAGAACTGGAACAAACCAGACCCAAGTGGACCAACACTATTTCGGCATCGGTGGGCAGGACTGAGCAGTGATGTCCGAACAAAGTTGCCGCCTAGTCCTGGCCGGGCAATACGTGAGTTGCAAGATCGCAATCCTCAAACATGTCAACACTTTTGCGTTGCTGCCGTCAGGCAATCCACGAAGTCTACTAACACCCCAACGAAACCCCACCCTGGAACGCCACTCCTGAAATCTGAACCAGAATCTCAGAAGCAGAACCATGATTTGTTTTAATTACTCTCTTTTGAGCTTGCTCTGCCGTCTCAAACTGCTGGCGAGAGGCTTCCAAAGCTCACACATCGCATTTCGAACCAACCCGTTCATTGCATCGAACCCCCCCCCCCGCATCTGCTGGACAAAGGAATGGATCATCTGTCGATTTTCTCATGACGTTGCTCGAGCAGCACGAGTATCAAGTTTTTCGACATGCTTGGCATCAGCAATCGCAGTGTCTGTCCCGGGGTTGCGTTTTTAGCAAGACACCTGTGGAAGTGCAGAGGAGCAGGCCTTGGGAGTGGCCGTTTTCACAACAGCAAACGTTTGATATGCGCTGCAATAACAACACCAGCTCTTCGATGATCATAGCGGTCCCTTTGCAAGCGAGGCTGCTTATTGCTGCAAGTTCGGCCTCGACCTGCCATTGGCTATTGCTGAAAGCAGAAACCCAATATGCTAACTCCTCCCATTCTGGTTGCCGTGACCGGGCATGCTTGCGAATTCAAGAGCACGAAGGCAAGCTAACGGTGTCTTCTTCTCACACCTTGAGCCTCAACACAGCATATTCCATTCAGTCTTGATTTGCAATGTTCACCACAATGTGGTCCAACATACATCATGATATGCAATAAATAAAATAACGGTCCACAATTACTCTACAAAGTTAATCGTACAGGCTTCCAGGTTCTCAAACTTTGTCACCGGCCGACACCGTTGCCACCGTCCAAACATCTGCACTTACGGCAGTTCCGGTCTCGCAAAGGAAACGAAACCAGGCTCAAAAGGTCTTGGATCCGAACGCAGAGGCTGACGAACCACAGCAGCGGTTCGCCAACAGCCGAACATGCAGAACATTCAAAGCTGCATTCCACATGGCTTGTCGTCTGTGTTTAAAGCCATTTCTTCTGCACTCTCTTGGTTGCTTCAGTTCTTGCCCTCGGAGGCGTCCGCTTTGA